CTTCAGCTCACTGACTGCTTCTTCTATAGGAACCACTTTGTGACTCTGGTGGAGAGAAAACTCACAGACAGGACACACAGCTCTCTGCTCGTCTTTACAGAACAGTTTAGTATCTTCTTGGTGTTCACTGCAGACCATCAGCTGCTTTTCTCCTTTTTTTGTCTCTGATGATCCGGATTTCTGTCTTCCAGTAAAAGAATCAGCCAGTTCCTTCAGTCCAAAATTTACAATCAGATTGTCCTTTGACAATCTTCTTTTACAGATGGGACAGTTCTTGTTTCCAGTTTGTTCCCAGAATTCCTCCAGGCAGCTTGAACAGAAGCTGTGGTTGCAGCTCAGAGACACAGGATCTCTGAAAGTCTCTGAACAAACATGGCAGCTCAGGAAACTTTCAAGTACTGCAATATTTTCTGCCATTTTCTACAGAAATCTCTCAGTCCCAGAACTCACCAAGTCAAAGTTTCTTCTTTCTCTTCAGATTATATCTTTGTGTTTCAAGTCAAATCTTCCACCCTGTAATGGCGTCTCAGCTCTGTTCCTCTATGTTAAAAATACTTTCATTTTCCTCTCAGTGACGTGTTTCCACTCTGACAGGTTATTGTGTAACACTTCCAGGTGAACTTTGTGCTTCTCATTTAGTGCAATAAAATTTCTTTGAACATTTAGTGAACAACTGCTTCATATTTTAAGAAGCAAACTTCTGATTTAATGCTTTAACTCAAAAAGAGAAGAAGCAATAAACAGAGACTTATTTTGCATTTAAGTCTTCTAGTGAATATTCAGCTGCTATGTTATTGATAATGTTTTCTATATACTTAAACAGTCATAACTATTTTTATTCACCAAAAGAGTAAATAAACTAAAAGATGACGACTCTTTAAAATGTGATAAAGTTCAATGCTTTATCAGAGGATGTTTGTTAGGTTCTGTGTTTTCTGTGTTAGTTTGAGGTTTTCTGTGTCCTGTTTTCCCCTGAGTCTCTGTGCCGTCCTGATTGTTCCCAGCTGTGTCTCATTTCTGTGATTACCCTCCCTGTGTATTTAGTCCCACCTGTTGTCTGTTCCTTGTTGGGTCCTTGTCTAATGTTGTCTGTCTGTCACTATTGTTCCTCGTTGCTCCTTGTATTTCTGGATTTTGTTATCCTGGATCATCATTAAACACCTTCTAAATGTCTGCCTGGGCCTATGAGGATCTCTCTCACCACAAACAATACCAAATCATGACAATGTTCTGGATTTCAGAGGAAAGTCATCATTGTTTTTGTTTTATTGTTATTGGTAAAACTTCCTTGGTCTTGCATCTGTCTGGTTGTCAATAAAGGTCTTACTGACTTGCATCAGTTCTGTTTATTGCAGTGAAGCTTTGAGTTTGCAATATCAGTGATGTGTTCAATAAACGTTGTCAAAATGATATTTATCTGCTGTGAGTATTTTCCTCCAGCAGATGGCGCTATGAGGACATTTTTCACAGCTGAACATTGCTGCTTCTGTCCTTGTGTTCAAACCAGAGAAATATTTTCCACAATTATTGTTCTGGCTGCAAAAAGAAAATATTCTAATTGCTTATGTCTGATAAACTCTTGAAAGTTACAGGTAAATTTCCAGTGAACTCGGGCTTCTGCCCATTGCCAGATAGTAAACCTACAGGATGAGAAATCTTACTGTTATCACTGAGAAATGACAGAAGGAAACAAATGAGGACAAGTAAACATTGGAGCAAAAACCATCTAACCACCAACTTCACCAGTTTATTATCTGGACTGGGTGATTGCCGTCTTCCTTCACCTCCTCATGTTTCTGTGTCTTGAGCCGCACCACAAAGAAAATCTTCCTTCAATGCATTGAATCATCTTTCAGTGTCTTATCCAGCCTCTGCTGTGATGTCTTCACATGCTGCACCCATGGCAGCCAGATGGATCATCTATGAGGCTGGTGATCAGAACTTTTCCATCTTCATCCTGAGAAAAATGTCTCAGTGTTAAGGAATGAGGATTATGGGGAGAGGAACCCCATCAGTATCTTGTTGGTTACAAATCATTACATTATGTTGGAGTGATGGAAACTGGCATTATGTCTTTGACCTATTCTGACTCTTCTTCTGTTTTGCATCCTAACTCATCTACATCCTCTCTCCTCCGCCTCTTCTTAATCTCTCTGGCTGTTAACCCCGTCCAAATATTTTTCTTTCCATTGTTAGAAATGTAACATTATGTTGTTTTCTGGATATATTCACTATATACTTTCCAGCTGATTTTTAATGAGATGCACCTTTGAGCTACTTTAAAAAAAATCTGGCTGATCTAGCTACATTGGAGTAACTCAGGATTCACTTGGGATCAATTTATCAGTTCAGGACAGATTCAGAAAAAAGTCTAATGGAAATGTACAGAAATATGCTTCACTTATGACAACTTGCTTAAGAATTTTGCATAAACTTGTGCTTAAATTTTGTTTAAGTTCAGAGAACTGGTACTTTGTTTAAGCTCATCATTTAATACATTCCATAAATCTACAACACACTGATATACAAAACATCTTGTCATTGTTTTTTAAAATTCCCTTTACCTCTAAAATTATAACCCCTCTCTCTGTCACAAAATAATTTTGAACATTGTGTGGAAGTTGATGGTTTAATACTTTAAACATAAATTGTATACAGTGTTAAATTGTACTAGGTCCCAGAATTTCATTGATCACAATAATTCAGTAAAATAAAAACAAAACTTTGAACTTTCTTTAAAAATAAATCTTAGTTTGACAGATTTTGAGATCAGAGGTTTTTGCATCACCTGCAGAACAAACACTAACACAAGGGAAGAGTTTCTCAGTGAAAGTGTCTCTGATCTGTCTCTCTGTGGACAACACCTGATTCTTGGAGTGTTGAATCACATCATCGTATGTTTCCTCCACTTGTTTGTGTTTGTTCCTCTTGTCCTGCAGAGACTTTAAGTCAGATTTCAGCTGCTCCTTCAGCTCACTGACTGCAGGACCCTCGTCAAGAGAAACGTCACTGACAGAACAATTATCTGTCTTCACATTTCCACAGAATATATACGGATCTTCTGGATGCTTACAGCAAATGTCTAATTTATCTGGTTTTTCCTGATCAGCCGATTCAGCTTGCTGTATTTTTTAAAAGGAGTCGGACAGATTCTTCAGTATAGCGCTCACTGGAAGTGTCTCTCTTGATGATCTTTTTTACAGATAGTTCTTGTTTCCAGTTTGTTCCACGATTTCTGCAGACAGCTAAGACAGAAGCTGTGGTTGCAGCTCAGAGACACAGGATCTCTGAAAGTCTCCAAACACACATGGCAGCTCAGGAAACTTTCAAGAAGAGCTCTCTCTGCCATTTTCTGTCAAAGTCTTTTTTCTTTAAAAAAGATTCTCAACAGCAAAAAAGTCCTTCATTACACTGTGTCAGATCTCTGCCAAAGGAGGAGAGTGGAGAAACTCTCCTCCTTTGGCAGAGATCTGACACAGTGTAATGAAGTTTCACAGCTCAGGAAGAGTTATTGAAGTTACTTTCTTTCTGCTTTTCCTGTTAATTGTTCTACCAGTCAGATGAGATGTTTATTTAGAGATATTCATTATAAACCTGTTCCTCAGCTCTATTCAGAAGAAAGAAGTTCAAATGAATCCCTTCACTAAATGGAAGCCACTGAAAAAAAAATAATTCAGACTCTAGTTGTATCAGATACCGTTATATACCATTAACTCTTCACTTCAATCAACATTATGAAAGCAGAAACAAATTTATCATTAGGGATGCAGCTGTGGTAATACTGAATACCTTAAAGGGGACCTATTATGCAAAATTCACATTTGCACATTTTTGTGCNCTGTAATGGCGTCTCAGCTCTGTTCCTCTATGTTAAAAATACTTTCACTTTCCTTTCAGTGACGTGTTTCCAGGCTGACAGGTCATTGTGTAACACTTCAAGGTGAACTTTGTGCTTCTCATTTAGTGCAATAAAATTTCTTTGAACATTTTGTAAACAACTGCTTCACATTTTAAGAAGCAAACTTCTGATTTTTATAAAAGTACATTCTAAATATATTTTAAATGTAATTCAATCACAAAATAGTACACTCAAAATATACTAATCATGCATGTTTAAAAAGCAATATACTTAAAGTATGCTAAGTATAATTTTAGTTGTTCCAAAAAAGTATGTGAAAGTACACTTAGTACGTTTTAAATTGTGATTTAATACAATTTAAATACTATTAAAATACACTAAGCACAAAATTATTTGTTCCAAAATGTCACACTTTAAGTTAACTAATCCTACTTTAACTTCCTTCTACTTATCTAGCAACCCTGAAAAGGAGCATCTAGTTTACTTATTTTTGAACATTATTAGCTTTTTATTCTTTTGCTTTTTCCTTTGGTTTGTTATTTTGTTTGTATTTCCTTTTAATTCCTGTAAAGCGCTTTCTATTGCCTTGTTGCTGAAACTGTGCTATTTGAATAAAATAACCTATACCTAAGCGAACTTGAAGTATTACTCATGATTAGTCTGACTTAAAGTATGATCAAGTATACTAATATTTAACATACTTAGTATATTTATTTTTCACCAGGGTAAATAAGCAATGCAATATATATATATATATATATTATGTTGTTTGCAACAGTCAAAAAGAAAAACGGATCTTCATCATATCATAAAGTACAGTAGGTAACATATATCCTGATTTGTTGTACAGCTGAGTGTTGATGAAACTGTTTTGCTGATGCAATTATAAAAACCTCAAGGAAAACTAAGAAACTCGGTAAATACACAATATTTGAAAAAAGATCTCTGTCGCCATCATGTGGTAAAATATTGTGAACTTCAAAAAAGTCAGCAAAGTCTGTGATGTAGATTTGAGTAAAAAAACTCAAAACTCTTTCAACTAAATTGCCCCAAAACTTTAATGAACTAAACTGGATAAAATCTAATGAACTACATCAACCAAATGTGCAGCTAAAATAAGGATATTTTATTATATTGTAACTAAACAAATAAACTTGTAGACATGCATAAATAAATACATGCATGTACAACTGCTACTAGTTTGCAAAAGGTATAAAATATATAGTTGGTTAAATATGAAGTTTAATAGTACAATTTTGAAATCAAGGTTTGATAGATGTGGCCAAACACCTGGGCAACCTGTCCTTCAGAGTCTGGGAGAAGATGAAGGACCAGGTGAAGTTCAGTCCCAAACAAAACTATATAATAAAAATTGCCCCAAAGTTTAATTCTGTTCTTGGGGGGTGGAGGGGTTTCTGCAAATTAATCTTAAGTAAAACTTTATACTTCACCTTTGAAAACCTAAAAATCGCAAAGTTCTTCACAATAAACTTAACCTAGCACAACAATCTAAGGCCCAACAATGATTAAAAAACTAATAAAAAGGAATTTTAGCAACAGATGTTTAAGTGTCTTTTAAAAGAGACCACAGACCAATATGTTATGTAGAAGTAACAGAAGTTTTTTGGTAACACTTTATTTGACAAGAGTGTGCATAAGACTGACATAACACCTGTAATGACCATGAAAGAGATTTCATCAATATTTATGAATGTTGTCATGAAGTGTCATTCAGTAAATAATGACACTTTTAATGCAAAGTTACATTAAAAGTGACAACTTTGCATTACTTGGTAAATAATGACACTTCATGACAACTGTTGTAAACATTCATAAAAACTCTTTCATCTTCATGACGGGTGTAATGTCAGTTTTATGCACATCCCATCAAATAAAGTGTTACTGGTTTTTCTAAAGCATTAATTAAATTGTATGTACATCTGGGTTTCAAAACTAACCACAGACCAAAGACAAGACTGCAAACATAAGTGTTTGAAACACAGAATACTGCATCAAGAACAAGAAAAGTCCCATTTTTACATTTATTTATTTCTACATTTTTACATTTATTTCTGCAGGTGTCTTTCTGTTTCTATTTCATTTTAATGATTAACTTTAAATTCAAATGTATGGAAGATCCACCCATCAATCCATCCATTTTCTATACACCCTTGTCCCTTACTGGGGTCAGGAGGGTTTGTATGATGGTATCTCAAAATAATGAGATTATTATAATGAGATTTTTTTTATTATTTTTTATTTTTTTTGACAGAGTGGAGGAAACGGGCTTCCACACTGAAGGGATAACAGCAATAAATAGACCTGATTTTACACAGTAAAATAGCAGTGTTAAAATCTTAGGTGTAGTGTTAAATAAGAATTGTGGTAGTTGTTTTAACACCACAAACCTTTAAAGTAACACTGCCAGTGTAACTTCTGACATATTGGCATAGTTAAATTCGAGTGTTAATTGGTTGATGTTGCTTAAGCCACACCTTCATATAACGGCTGCAGAGTACATGCTACTTTGTGTTTAAAGAGCCAACATTGCAAACTGCTGATTTAAAGCCTCCAAGATGATGTGGGGATGTTTTTTTAATTCCCTCGCACAAATTGTTCGTTACCTCGAAAAAGCTGTGCATGTTCATGAGGTTATGATTAGGAAAAAAAAGATTTACGTTCTTAATCCAACATAATTGCCGAAATGTATCCAAATAGGCTGCTTAGTGGTGCAGTTGGTCTGTTGCCTTGCAGCAAGAAGGTCCTGGGCTTAATTCCTCGCCTGGACATGGCATGATTGACACTACATTGGTGTAACTTTTAACAATATATTTTAACACCAACACCATTGTAATGTTAACGTGACACCAAGTATTGTTGAATATAAAACAATGTCTAGTGTTGCTTTAATAAATAAACTGATGTCAACCTTTTAACACTTTCACAAATTATTTTAACACCAGCTAGTTTGGACACATATAGACACTTTGTTGATACTATATCTATCTTTTAAAGAATATCCCTTAACATTAGACAGAAATGTTCCTGTGAGAGATTTTAATATCAGATGTTTTAGCATTTCCTGCCCTTCTAACACCAAAATAAGGGAAGAGTTTCTCAGTGAAAGTGTCTCTGTGAGTGTAGATGTGAGTCATGTCTTCAGAGTCATAAAAGGAAACCGTCCCCATGTCGTAGTCCAGCTGGACGTTAATCCTTCGGAGACTCTTCTTCACTGGGACAATCTCCCCGACAGTATTCGTGTATTTTCCATCACCATGCCATAAACTCCAGATCCCATATTTTGGTGAAGCACGTCTCTCACCCTTCCTCTCAGCTGACTCTTTAACTACACCCAGAGTCCAGTCTGGATGATCTCCCACCTCCACATCCCAGCTGTGTTTCCCTGACTTGAAGCCCTCAGAACCAAAAACAGTTCCAGTGTTGGTGTTTCTCTCTGGATTGTCAGGAAGCTGCTGCTTTGTTTCTCCACGTCTCACACTGGTCAGATCATCAGACAGATACAGACCATAGTAAGCAGTGTTTGGGTCCAGAATGACAGGACTGAACTTCACCTGGTCCTTCATCTTCTCCCAGACTCTGAAGGACAGGTTGCCCAGGTGTTTGGCCACATCTATCAGAGCTCCTGAGACCAGCTGTGGAACTGGCAGTGACCTCTGACCTCTGGCTCTGCTTTGAGTGGCTTCATAACTGCTGAGGAATGACATGTTGTCTTTCTGCAGCTCTTCTTCAACAGCAGAGATGCTGTCTGATAGAGAGGAGATCTGCTCCTCAATCCTCTTCATCTCTCCCATGATAGTCTTCCTCTTCTGCTCCTCTTCCTCCCTCAGAGCTGCCAGTCTGGACTCCTCTTCCTCTCTCAGGACCTGGTGGGGCTTGTTGAACTCTGCTCTGATCCGTCTCTCTGTGGACAACACCTGCTCCTTGGAGTGTTGAATCACATCATCGTATGTTTTCTCCACTTGTTTGTGTTTGTTCCTCTTGTCCTGCAGAGACTTTAAGTCAGATTTCAGCTGCTCCTTCAGCTCACTGACTGCTTCTTCTGTAGGAACCACTTTGTGACTCTGGTGGAGAGAAAACTCACAGACAGGACACACAGCTCTCTGCTCGTCTTTACAGAACAGCTTAGGGACTTCTTGGTGTTTACTGCAGACCATCAGCTGCTTTTCTCCCTTTTCTGTCTCTGATGATCCATATGTCTTCAGACTTCTGATAGCAAAAGAATCAGCAAGTTCCTGAAGAGCAAAATTCACTACTGGATTATCTTTAGAAGATCGTCTTTTACAGATGGGACAGTTCTTGTTTCCAGTTTGTTCCCAGAATTTCTGCAGGCAGCTTGAACAGAAGCTGTGGTTGCAGCTCAGAGACACAGGATCTCTGAAAGTCTCTGTACACACATGGCAGCTCACGTAACGATCAAAAAGAGCTCTCTCTGCCATTTTGTCAAAATATTTCAACAGTCAGACTCACCAAAAGTTTCAGCAGTTTCTTTGAAAGAATTTTCAGCAGAGATCTAATACCCAGCGTTTCACAGATGAGTTCAATAACGCCTGAAATTACTTTCCGTTTCTTTAGTCTGTAAGTCACGTGTTAAATGAAAAAAAATCTGGAATTGAGTTCATGTCCAGCAGGTGGTGCTGTAGGAACATCTTTCACAGCTAAACACGAAGCTACTTATTCTGAACTTGCAATAAAATAGAGGATATTTGTTAATTTAGTTTTCATGTAAAGTTAAACATGTCATTAATTTTTACTCTCCCACATTGTAATCTACTTTAATATTCCAAAATAAACATAAAATAAATTTAGGAGGAAAAACAACTGGTATTTGGCCTGAAAATAAATAATTTTAAATTAAGTCAATGTTTAATAAAAACATAGTTTCAACTGAACCATAATATCAAAAGCCTAATTAAAGATCCACATCCGAGTGGTTTTTAAGTATTTTATTCAACATTGTTCAGATGACGTTCATCAGTTATTGTAGTTATCTGTTTATCCTTCCTCAGATTAATAAGAATCTGTGATGTTCATATATAATGGGTATTTATCACAAAACAGTAGCAGAATATTTTGTATTAGTAATGTGAATATGAAGAGATGAACCAGTGAAACAGAAAATTACAAGAAAATATCCGAGAAAAAATGTCTGAAATTATTCTTCCAATAATTTTAATAAACGTAATATAACAAATCATTTTTATATTTTCTCACGTTTTCACTTACAGCTTTATTTAAATGTTGATCCATACTGATCTCATTTTACTTATTTGTTTATCTATTTCGACCAGGATAAATTCCAGTTTAGGATAAGAGATAGTTTTGAACTTTATTGAGCAGAACAACTTTCTGCAGGAAGTTTTTGATGATGAAAAGACCAGAACATGAAGTCAGTGGACCGAGTCTTTCAGTTTAATGTGAGAAACAAGAACAACTGATACTTGATGTTCTCACCTCACTTTTCTGAAAATTTGTTTCAGTGAAAATGTGGAAAATGTTGAGACTTCACATAGTCTTTGAGAAAGAGGCAGGTTCACTCTGTCATTTAAACAACCAATGATTAGATGAGCTCCTCTTAGTTTGAGCTCATCTAATCAGAACCTTCTAGTGGTTCTGTGGACCCAGTTCAGAACCTGAGGAGATCCAGAATGTGGAAAGCTCTGCTTCTATTTCAACATAGTTTAGATTCTGTGGAAAACTTATTTGGGTTGGGTTCTGTGGTCTCTGCATTTCCTTTCAGCCTCCATCAGAGGGAGTCCAGAAGCCGCCTCTATGTGTCGTTAATTTTTTTCTCCAAATCTTTATTGAAAGAACTAATCAAAACAAGACAGTTAATAATATATGTATCAATAACTGCCTAAATTAACACATTTAAATTTAAATATTCATTTACACCAATTAATGTTTCTATGAAATAAGAAATAAGTCAGGAGGTGCTTATTTCATTAAATAATGTGATATCAAGTGTTTCTATAGCTTTCCTGTAATTAAAGTCAGATACTCTTTTTGAAACACCAGAGAAAAGGAAGTAGTGACTAAGTTTAGATTTGTATGGTAATTTCCTAAGAATATTATTAGATCAATGATATAAATTTCTTTCTTTTTGCTTTTGAAGTCATGGTCTTCAACGGTGCAAGTCAAACTGAAATCAGAGTCGATCTTCCCTTTGACATATCAAGATTATTTTATCCCAGAAGGTTGCAGCAGAATGACAGCGCTACAACAGTTGTGTCAAGCTTAGACTCACACAGAGAACACTTAAACATATATCTTTCTCAAATTCCAATGATATAATTATGTTAGTTTAGAACCAAAATCTGAAATTAATTTTTAAATTTGGAATCGTTTAGATTGCTGTGATTGCTTTTCTTCGCTGGAAAAGAAACCCACATCATGATTCCTCGAGCTTCTAATGCAGTGATGATCAGGTTTAGAAAGATGACTGGATGTATTTTGAAGGTTTTTAACATGCCTTGCCATGGTACAAACTTGAATCTATTGTGTGGAGGCTGATGTAGTTTTTTTCTAAACATGCTGCTGTCTGGTCAGTATCTCTACTTCCAAAGGTCATTCTTTCTTATTCTTATATCTACATTCCTTCTTACATCTAGAGAGAGATGTCTAGAGTTGACAAAGAGCATCTGTAAATAGTAATTTTCATGTATCACCAAAGACTCTGAATTTGATTAAGGCCTGGACTTTGACTGGACCCCAATTTAATCTCTTAATAAAATGTATGTACCTGATTTTTACTCCCCTTCAGCATTATAACAAAGTTGTTGTTTTTTTACAACCAGTTCAGAAAAATCTTTTTTTGTACTCTGAAACCATTAAACATAAATAAATGTATTATGAAGCCTTGGCATAAATTCAAACTGGAAGACTCTCTGGCCTCACCTGCATCATCCAAACGGTGCGTCTCGCTCATCGCCATTGACCTATCAACGTCGGACCAAGCCACATAACGGCCAATCACCGACCAAGCTCCTGCTGATAAGGACCTCCATCCTTGGCATCTCCTGCTTTCCAGCTGCGCTCAACCCACCTCCACCCCTTCTCCACCTCCACTCTCCTGGCTCTTCAGGCACCCATCCTTCACCGACCTCCACCACCAGTGTATGGGCCCTAACTTATCTTCCACTGGAGATTTGGAGGTTTGGGTCCTCGCTGCATGGCAGCTCATGTTACCGTTCAGCGCAGTACCTACCGCTGCCACTAGGGGGCCCACAAGAGCAATTTATTATTTTTCTTTTTCTTTTTCTTTTTGCCCATATAAGAAAGATTTCTACATATACTGTCGTGATCTGTGTTTCTGTGTGTTTATTTTTGAGTTCTTCTGTGTTCAGTCCTGTTTTCCCTGTGTAGTCCTGTTCCCCGAGTCTCTGTCCTCCCTGTTGATTGCTCCCCAGGTGTGTCGTATCCCCCTGATTACCCTGTGTGTATTTAGCCCCACCTGTTGCCTGTGTTCGGTGTCAGATCCTCGTCATTTGTAACTGTTTCCCTGTGCCGTCGTGTCCCACCCTCGTCTCACGTCTGTGTCTGTTCCTGTGCTGCCAGTGATTTTCAGTTGTTTCTCCTGGTTTGTCATTAAATTCATCATTTTCACCTTCATCCTGGCTGCCTGCGTCTCATCTCACCTCACCAAACCCTGAACCATGACATATACATTATCGACAGTGATGGCATAGTTACTTTAAAAAAGTACCCTTAATCGGATTACTGATTACTCCTTGAAAAAGTAATGTATAGATTACTGATTATTTGATTTGGAAAGAGTTACAATAAAAGTAACTTTTTAGTTACTTTCAGCAGCTGTTGACAATAATGTTCTGCCACCTGTAAAAATTATATTGATCTTTGCCAATACTTAATTGCAAGTTATTTTATAATGGTAACATCAACAATGTATTTCCACTTACAAATTTGAACTTAAGGGGAGATTGTTTAATGGTTACAACAGTACAACAACAAAAAACTTAAGTAATTTGTGCGTGTGTTTTTGTCTTTCACTATTGTCTGGAAAACTCTAAATAGGATTTTAGAGTTCCCCCGCTAGCCCTCTGCCGCAGCCTCCAGGTTCTGTGTTACGGCCCTGTTAGCTGTCACAGCGCAGCGCACAGCGCTCCTCCTGCCGTTCAACAATTCAGATATCTACTGCACAGATTTGTGACACTTATCTTAATATTAATTACTATAACGGCTTTCAGTTGTGTAACTTTTACGGACACGTAATGAACGGGCACGTTCATTACGGACGTAATAAAACAGCGTTTATTGCGCTGTTCATATTCGTCTCGATGTTTGCAGTTTTCTGGAGCGCAACGCGGAGCTTGACGTCATTCACAGCAAATATATTAACTTGACATTAATAAGGACACAGCGGGATGGATCATCCGGGAAATGATGGACAGGGAGAGTCTGGCTAAAACTAACTGGATGCCAGACAAATTCTGGGGCTTATTATGAGTCTCTGCTTATTTCCAAGCCCAATAAGCAGCTTCACGTTCAAAAACGAGCCCAAAAGAGCGCAGCCAGCAACTCATTAAATTTGCAAGCGACTTTAGAAAAAAGGAGCTCAAAGCTGCTTATAATAATTGGGTTTGGCGAAATTCAAAATAGTTCTTGATTTTCCAGCAACAAAATGCGCATCTCCGCTTCCTCCATTGTTTACATTTCTGTCGCTGCTGATACCATCGCATAGAAATGACGCGGTCACTCCCCCAAGACACATAGAGGAAATAAAATTAAAACATAAAATAAAATAGTAACGCAAAGTGATTTCGATAAGTAACTGTAATCCGACTACTGGATTTGAAATAGCAATGCATTAAGTGATCCTACTCAGTAATATACTGACATCACTGATTATCAAATATATATTATTGTAAAATAAGCACAACTTTATAATGAAGTTGTGTATTTTTGGTAATATAATCACATAGAAATCATTACTAAAAATCAGTTCCACTTAAGGGGCCCTCTAGCGGCCCCGGGGCCCTAAGTGGCTGCTTAGTTTGCTTATGCCTTGGGCAGGCCCTGATTGCCGTCTTCCTTCACCTCCTCATGTTCCTGTGTCTTGAGCCGCATCACAACGAAAATCTTCCTTCAATGCATTGAATCATCTTTCAGTGTCTTATCCAGCCTCTGCTGTGATGTCTTCACATGCTGCACCCATGGCAGTCAGATGGATCATCTGTATATGAGGCTGGAGATCATAACTTTTCCATCTTCATCCTGACAAAAATTTCTCAGTGTGTTAAGGAAGGAGGATTATGGTAAGAGGAACTCCATCAGCATCTTGTTGGTTACAAATCATTACGTGATGATGTTGGAGTGATGGAAACTGGCATTATGTCTTTGACCTCTTCTGACTCTTCTTCTGTTTTGCCTCATCACTCCTCTACATCTTCACTCCTCTTCCTCCTCTTCTTTCTCTCTGCCTGGTGACCCCCTGAAAATGTTTCTCCTTCCGTTGTCATAAATGTAACATATTATTTTATGGCACTATACAACATGTAGTTAATTTTTCATGAGATGCACCTTTGAGCAATTAAAAAAAATCTGGTTGATCTAATTCTTACAACATTTACCTACATTGGAGAAACTCAAGATTTACCTGGGATCAATTTATCAGTTCAGGACAGATTCAGAAAAAAAGTATACCGTAAAATTATGACTGTAATTTGAAGATCAGTGAACTACAAATTTTTTCAACAGCCAAAGAAAAATAAACAAATGAATGTGTTTAAGAGATAAACTTTTAAAAGTAATCAAAAAAGATTGTTTTCAGCAGCAGTTTTTATTATGAAATATGTTTCACATTGAGGAATCTAAAACAAATCATCACATCAAGTCAAGTGGAATCAGTTTTCTAACACATTTCAGCCACAAGGCACAAAGTGAACGGCACCAGAGAGAAAAGAGAGGAAAGTGAATCTAAATATTTATTGTCAGTTTTTCTGCTAAAGTTAATAACAACAACTAAAAACAAGACTGACATTATAAACCAGTTTAGTATGTTATTTCTGAAATGTTTGTTCTGAAATTCTGTCAATATGTTAAGGCTTTTACTTTCTTAAGTTTTTATTATTTTAAACAGATTGCTTTTTATTGATATATGTTAAAAAGTGTTGATTAGGCTAAAGGGTGTCTCCCTAAGGAGTTAAATCTTATTGTTCAGGGCTACACTTTCAAATTAAGGACATAGCTGTGGTCCAACACTGAAACTGTAAACTACTTCTCTGTTCTATAACACATCATTTTGTATAGTTTTCTGTAATACATTTTCTTACTTATTCTAATACTATTTTCTTTTTTTTTGAGACGATCCCTCCCAAAAAAAAGAGTCCAGAGAAGAAATGTGAACAGTTAAAACAAACTGAAAAGATTCAGAAACAAAGAATCTTTGTTTAAATTAATTAATCTGATGACGGTGAAACGCTTGTTCCAGTTTGAACAACATTATCTAACAATGTTTTATGTTTTCTACTAAAGTGTGAAAAACTTGAAAAGGATTAAAGAAGTTAATAAAGAATTGAATAAGAAAGTTGGGATGATCGCAAATAGAAACATTGATTAAAGTAATTCAGGAAAATGAAACGCTTAACTTTTACCTTTAAGGAGAAATATCATTTTTGCAGATTTTGAGATCAGATGTTTTAGCATCACCGGCAGGACTAACAGTAAAATAAGGGAAGAGTTTCTCAGTGAAAGTGTCTCTGTGAGTGCAGATGAGAGTCATGTCTTCAGGGTTGTAGAAGGACACGTCCCCCATGTCATAGTCCAGCTGGACTCTGATCCTCTGGAGACTCTTGTTCACTGGGAGAGTCTTACCATCAACGTCATTGTATTCTCTATCATGATGCCATAAACACCAGATTCCATTTTCTGGTGAAACACGAAGCTCTCCCTTCCTGTCCACAGACTCTTTAACCAAACCGACACTCCAGTCAGGATGATCTCCCACCTCCACATCCCAGCTGTGTTTCCCTGAGCTGAAGCCCTCAGAACCAAAAACATTGTAGTGATTAGTGTTTCTCTCTGGATTATCAGGAAGCTGCTGCCATGTGTCTCCATGTTTCACACAGCTCAGATCATCAGACAGATGGATCCATCCATTTGCAGTGTTTGGGTCCAGAATGACGGGACTGAACTTCACCTGGTCCTTCATCTTCTCCCAGACTCTGAAGGACAGGTTGCCCAGGTGTTTGGCCACATCTATCAGAGCTCCTGAGACCAGCTGTGGATCTGGCAGTGACCTCTGACCTCTGGCTCTGCTCTGAGTGGCTTCATAACTGCTGAGGAACGACACGTTGTCTTTCTGCAGCTCTTCTTCAACAGCAGAGATGCTGTCTGACAGAGAGGAGATCTGCTCCTCAATCCTCTTCATCTCTCCCATGATAGTCTTCCTCTTCTGCTCCTCTTCCTCCCTCAGAGCTGCCAGTCTGGACTCCTCTTCCTCTCTCAGGAACTGGTGGAGCTTGTTGAACTCTGCTCTGATCTGTCTCTCTGTGGACAACACCTGCTCCTTGGAGTGTTGAATCACATCATCGTATGTTTTCTCCACTTGTTTGTGTTTGTTCCTCTTGTCCTGCAGAGACTTTAAGTCAGATTTCAGCTGCTCCTTCAGCTCACTGACTGCTTCTTCTATAGGAACCACTTGGTGACTCTGCTGCTTTTCTCCTTTTTCTGTCTCTGATGATCCAGGTTTCTGTCGTGCAGAATCAGCTAGTTCCTTTAAGATGGGATTTATCTGCAGGAAATTTATCTCCTTTGAACTTTGATCAAACGGTTCCTGCAGATTGAAGTTTATTGGAAAATCCTTGGAAGATCTTCTTTCACAGATGGGACAGTTCTTGTTTCCAGTTTGTTCCCAGCACTTCTGCAGGCAGCTTGAACAGAAGCTGTGGTTGCAGCTCAGAGACACAGGATCTCTGAAAATCTCTGAACAAAGATGGCACCTCAGGAAACTTTCAATATTTTCTGCCATTTTCTACAGAAATCTCTCAGTCCCAGAACTCACCAAGACAAAGTTTCTTGCTTTTCTTTCATTAAACGTTTGTGTTTCAAGTCAAATCTTCCACCCTGCAGTAGCGTGTCAGCTCTGTTCCTCTATGTTAAAAATACTTTCACTTTCCTTTCAGTGACGTGTTTCCAGTCTGGCAGGTCATTGTGTAACACTTCCAGGTGAACTTTGTGCTTTCATTTAGTGCAATAGTTTCTTTGAACATTTAGTGAACAACTGCTTCACATTTTAAGAAGCAAACTTCTGTTTTAATGCTTTAACTGAAGAAGAATAGAAACAATAAACACAGAACTTTTCATTTCAGTCTTCTAGTGAATATTCAGCTGAACACTCTTTAATGTTCTGTGATCACCTCAAAATGAATGTGCTTAATTTCCAGGAAGTCAATTCCTGGAATTGACTTCCATTTTTCACAGCTGAACGTTGCTGCAAACAGCTTTTCTCTTTTAAAAACGGACACAGAGTTCTGAGCAGCACAGGAACCAATCACTGACATGCATGAAGGGGCGGTGCCGGCCGGTTCTGCTAGGCTAATATGTGAGCTGTAAAACATGTTGCTGATAACATTTTCTATATACTAAAACAAAGTCATAACTTTTTTTTATTCACCAAAAGAATAAATAAACTAATATAGCGACACATTAAAACATGATAAAGCCCAATACTTCATCAGACGATGTTCTGGTTTTCAGAGGAAAGGCATCATTGTAGTTTTTGTTTTATTATTATTGGTAAGACTTCCTCAGTGTTACATCTGTCTGGTTGTCAATAAAGGTCTTATTGACTTGCATCAGTTTTGTTTATTGCAATTAAGCTTTGAGTTTGCAATATCAGTGATGTGTTCAATAAATGTCAAAATGATATTTATCTGCTGTGAGTATTTTCCTCCAGTAGATGGCGCTATGAGGACATTTTCACAGCTGAACGTTGCTGCTTCTGTCCTTGTGTTCAAACCAGAGAAATAATTTCTACTATTATTGTTCTGGCTGGAAACTAAATTGTTCTAATTTTGTTCATATGTCTGAATAAACTCTTGAAAGCTACAGCAAAAGTGCAGGTTTGAATTCAGGGTTCTGCCCATTTTAAAGGCTTGCCAGATAATAAACCTACAAGATCAGAATGTGTATTATCATCAATGAGTAATGACAGAGGAGAACGGTAAAGAACAAGAGAACACTGGAGATAAAATCCTCCAACTTCACTAATTTAGTATCTGGACTGGGTGATTGCTGTCTTCCTTTGCCTTGATTGTTTTGATTTAGCAGATTTATTGATTTTTCATGAGATGTACTTTTGAGCTGTTTAAACATCGGTTCTAATGCTCCCCACATTTACCTACTTTGAAGAAACTCAGGATTCACCTGGGATCAATTTATCAGTTCAGGACAGATTCAGAAAAAAAAGTCTAATGGAAATGTATAAAAATATGCTTCACCTATTGTGACAACTACATCAAGCATTTTGAATGAACTTTACTTGAATGTTGTCAATGTTGAGAAAATGTAACCGTATAATACATTTTGATCAACATGATATAACCAATTATAAAAGTAGAGAAAACAGACATATGTACATAATTACTTGCATTATGGACCAAAACATTTGCAACTTACTCCAAGTTGCAAGTTGCAAATAAAAAATGTTTTTTTTTATCTGCACAATAATTTAAAGAGTGAAAAAGTGGTTTTGAGAATTTCAATTCTGTTCTAAAAAAATGCACTAAAGCAACTGAGAAAAACTAACTAGATTAGAAAACAAACCATCATATCAAGTCAAATCAAGTTTATTTGTGTAATATATTTCAGCCACAAGGAAGTTCAAAGTGATTTGCATTATAAAAATGTAACATTAAAATATTATGAAGTCAGTCAGCAAACAGACTGACACAATGGACCCAGGTTATGGTGAGAGAAATAAAGATTTAATGAAAAATAAGCACAAAATCCAGGCAGCACAGGTGAGCAAAAGGTAGCAACTGGACAGGATAACACTGCTAACAGACAAGACAAGGAAATAAGAAACAGGGGTGAACTTAAATACACAGAGGGCAGTCAAGGGAATGAGACACAGCTGGGAGCAATCAAGGGGTAGACAGGACAACAGGGAGACTCAATTGACACAGAAAACCAAAATAAACACACAGAAAAAAAACAAATCCTTACAGATAATTGTACTTTGTTTAAACTCATCATTTAATCCATTCCATAAATCCACCACACACCGATATAAAAAACCTCTTATGACTGTTTTTTAGAATTTCCTTCTCCGCTTAAATTGTAACCCCTCTCTCTGTCACAAAACATTTTTGAACATTGTGTGGAAGTTGATGGTTCAATACTGTAACCATGAATTGTATAGTCCTGAATTTTACAAGGTCCCAGAATTCATTTAGATTAATTTGGTAAAAATAAAAACAAAAACAAAACTTTGCAGTTTATTTAAAAATAAATCTTAGTTGACAGATTTTGAGATCAGACGTTTTAGCATCACCTGCTGGGGAAACGTTAAAATAAGGGAAGAGTTTCTCAGTGAAAGTGTCTCTGTGAGTGTAGATGAGAGTCATGTCTTCAGAATCGTAGAAGGAAACTGTCCCCATGTCATAGTCCAACTGGACTCTGATCCTCTGGAGACTCTTCTTCAGTTTGAGAGTCTCACCAACTCCATTAGTGTATTTTCCATCATGATGCAGTAAACACCAGATTCCATTTTCTGGTGAAGCATGTCTCTCTCCCTTCCTGTCCACAGACTCTTTAGCCAAACCAGCAGTCCAGCGAGGATGATCTCCCACCTCCACATTCCAGCTGTGTTTCCCTGACTTGAAGCCCTCGGAACCAAAAACATTCCAGTATTTAGTGTTTCTCTCTGGATTATCAGGAAGCTGCTGCTCTGTGTCTCCATGTCTCAAACTGGTCAGATCATCAGACAGATGGATCCATCCATTTGCAGTGTTTGGGTCCAGAATGACGGGTCTGAACTTCACCTGGTCCTTCATCTTCTCCCAGACTCTGAAGGACAGGTTGCCCAGGTGTTTGGCCACATCTATCAGAGCTCCTGAGACCAGCTGTGGAACTGGCAGTGACCTCTGACCTCTGGCTCTGCTCTGAGTGGCTTCATAACTGCTGAGGAACAACTCGTTGTCTTTCTGCAGCTCTTCTTCAACAGCAGAGATGCTGTCTGACAGAGAGGAGATCTGCTCCTCAACCCTCTTCATCTCCCCCATGATAGTCTTCCTCTTCTGCTCCTCTTCCTCCCTCAGAGCTGCCAGTCTGGACTCCTCTTCCTCTCTCAGGACCTGGTGGGGCTTGTTGAACTCTGCTCTGATCCGTCTCTCTGTGGACAACACCTGCTTCTTGGAGTGTTGAATCACATCATCGTATGTTTTCTCCACTTGTTTGTGTTTGTTCCTCTTGTCCTGCAGAGACTTTAAGTCAGATTTCAGCTGCTCCTTCAGCTCACTGACTGCTTCTTCTATAGGAACCACTTTGTGACTCTGGTGGAGAGAAAACTCACAGACAGGACACACAGCTCTCTGCTCGTCTTTACAGAACCAATAAGGAACCTCTGAGTGTTTCTCACACACCACCTTCTCTTTCTTCTTCTCTCTTTCCATCTCAGTTGAGGCTCCTTTCTTTTTCTCACCAAACAAATCAGCGAGTTCTTTGAGGGAGAAGTTGATGGACGGATCCTCCTTTGACGTCCGTTTACAGATGGGACAGTTCTTGTTTCCAGTTTGTTCCCAGAATTTCTGCAGGCAGCTTGAACAGAAGCTGTGGTTGCAGCTCAGAGACACAGGATCTCTGAAAGTCTCTGAACAAACATGGCAGCTCAGGTAACTTTCAAAAAGAGCTCTCTCTGCCATTTTGTCAAAATATTTCAACAGTCAGACTCACCAAAAGTTTCAGCAGTTTCTTTGAAAGAATTTTCAGCAGAGATCTAATACCCAGCGTTTCACAGATGAGTTCAATAACGCCTGAAATTACTTTCCGTTTCTTTAGTCTGTAAGTCACGTGTTAAATGAAAAAAAATCTGGAATTGAGTTCATGTCCAGCAGGTGGTGCTGTAGAAACATCTTTCACAGCTAAACATGAAGCTACTTATTCTGAACTTGCAATAAAATAGAGGATATTTGTTAATTTAGTTTTCATGTAAAGTTAAACATGTCATTAATTTTTACTCTCCCACATTGTAATCTACTTTAATATTCCAAAATAAACATAAAATAAATTTAGGAGGAAAAACAACTGGTATTTTGCCTGAAAATAAATAATTTTAAATTAAGTCAATGTTTAATAAAAACATAGTTTCAACTGAACCATAATATCAAAAGCCTAATTAAAGATCCACATCCGAGTGGTTTTTAAGTATTTTATTCAACATTGTTCAGATGACGTTCATCAGTTATTGTAGTTATCTGTTTATCCTTCCTCAGATTAATAAGAATCTGTGATGTTCATATATAATGGGTATTTATCACAAAACAGTAGCAGAATATTTTGTATTAGTAATGTGAATATGAAGAGATGAACCAGTGAAACAGAAAATTACA